CCGAGGCCGCTGCCGAGCCGCCCACGGGCCTCCGCTTCTCGCCCGAGCAGGTGGCGTGCGTGTGCGAGGCGCTGCTCCAGGCGGGCCACGCCGGCCGCCTGAGCCGCTTTCTGGGCGCGCTGCCCCCGGCCGAGCGCCTACGTGGCAGCGACCCGGTGCTGCGCGCGCGGGCCCTGGTGGCCTTCCAGCGGGGCGAGTACGCCGAGCTGTACCGGCTGCTGGAAAGCCGCCCCTTCCCCGCCGCCCACCACGCCTTCCTGCAGGACCTTTACCTGCGCGCGCGCTACCACGAGGCCGAGCGGGCCCGCGGCCGCGCGCTGGGCGCCGTGGACAAGTACCGGCTGCGCAAGAAGTTCCCGCTGCCCAAGACCATCTGGGACGGCGAGGAGACCGTGTACTGCTTCAAGGAGCGCTCCCGCGCTGCGCTCAAGGCCTGCTACCGCGGCAATCGCTACCCCACGCCCGACGAGAAGCGCCGCCTGGCCACGCTCACCGGCCTCTCGCTCACGCAGGTCAGCAACTGGTTCAAGAACCGGCGACAGCGCGACCGGACTGGGGGCAGCGGCGGTGCGCCCTGCAAGAGGTGAGGGAGCCCGGGCAGCGCGAGCCCCGTTTGCCCGGGGCGTTCGCCAGCCGACACCTCCATGCCTAGGCCCAGTTCTGGAGGTTGCACGCCGATGTCCACAGACAAGTCACGCTCACCCCCTCGTGCGCCCGGGAGCTCAGGAGGAAAGCGCGGGTCACACAGGCCCCGGGCCTTCTCCCCTCTGGACAGCACTGCACGGCCCGCAAGGGCTGGACCTCCCTCGCTCCACGCAAGGCTCCAGCCAAATCCCCGTCCATGTTGGAGGCTAGACTGGAGGGGAATAGAAAGTGAGGGGCTCCGGAGGGGCCTTTGTCCGCACCCCCCCACGCACACACACCCAACCCCTTTCAGGCCGCCAGGCGGTCCCCTGACCGTTACTCTGCCCAACACCCCCCACACGCCCTCGGGGCTCAAGCAGCGTGGTGTGTCGTCTGTCTTTGTTGTGAAACGTGAACCTTCCCCAGCTCCGATTTCTCTGTAACCCAAGCCCTTCTCCTCCCACCCAGGGCGGCCCGGCCTCTCACTCCCTTCTGTCTCCCGGGGGGAGGGCACCGGGAACAGCAGCCGCCACCTCCTCGCTCTCGAAATGCAATCACTGCTCCCCGCCCGGCCCAGGGAGCTCCGCGGCCGCCACGGTGCCCAGCTTCTGGGGCCTGTAGGCCGAGGGGCCGGCAGAGGAGGGCCTCTTCCGCCAGTTCCATCAAGCTTTAGGGGTTTTTTTTGCGGTGGTGTTAATGTTGGGTTTACAGAAGCTGTCTCTGAGGTCCTTGGGTGGTCTCAGAGGAGAAGCTGCCTAAGGGCCCTAGAGCTGTGCCCAGAGCCTGGGGCGGCCTCTGGTGAAGTCAGGATGGTCCGTGGTGCTGGTGGTGTGGGGGGGGACACAGCTCACCATCCTCTCTCTCCCCCAGCGAGTCTGATGGGAACCCCACCACTGAGGATGAGTCCAGCCAGAGTCCTGAGGACCTGGAGAGGGGGGTGGCCCCCGTGGCTGCCGAGGCTCCGGCCCAGAGCTCCATCTTCCTGGCGGGGGCCACCCCTCCAGCCCCCTGCCCAGCCTCCTCCTCGATCCTGGTGAACGGGAGCTTTCTGGCCGCCGGCAGCCCTCCTGCCGTGCTCCTCAACGGGAGCCCCGTCATCATCAACAGCCTGGCCCTGGGCGAAGCCTCCAGCCTGGGCCCCCTGCTGCTCACTGGGGGCGGGGCCGCCCCTCCACCACAGCCCAGTCCCCAGGGGGCCAGTGAGGCCAAGACCTCCCTGGTCTTGGACCCGCAGACTGGCGAGGTTCGGCTGGAAGAGGCTCAGCCTGAGGCCCCTGAAACCAAGAGGGCCCCGGGGGCTGCATCGGGGCCAGCGGGAGAGGAAGCCTCAGGACCCCTTCCTCAGGTGGTGCCTGGCCCCCTGCCGGCGGCCACCTTTCCCCTGCCACCAGGACCGGTGCCAACCGTGGCCGCTCCACAGGTGGTACCGCTCTCTCCGCCGCCTGGGTACCCCCCAGGCCTGGGCCCCACCTCCCCGCTCTTGAACCTGCCCCAGGTGGTGCCCACCTCGCAGGTGGTGACCCTGCCCCAGGCTGTGGGGCCACTGCAGTTGTTGGCAGCTGGGCCAGGCAGCCCTGTGAAGGTGGCAGCCACAGCAGGCCCTGCCAACATGCACCTGATCAACTCGGGGGTGGGCGTGACCACGCTGCAGCTGCCTTCTGCCGCAGCCCCAGGTATCCCCTTCTGCCGCTCTGGGTGAGAGCTGGGTGGGGGCGCGGTTATCTCAGGGGGAGGTAAAGGGGTGTCGGTGGGTTTCTGGGAGTGTCTTGTCCCTGGCGTGTTACAGCGGGCTCCTCCAGGGCCCCGAGGTTCGAGCCACACAGCTCCATTCTGGTTCACCCCCGTGGTGCTGCTCCCACCTCTGTCCCTGGCCAGCAGCTCCCATCTCTGACTGTGCTTGCCCCTTCTCCCCACAGGAAACTTCCTGCTGGCGAACCCCGTGTCTGGCAGCCCTATTGTGACAGGAGTGGCCGTGCAGCAGGGCAAGATCATCCTCACGGCCACCTTCCCCACCAGCATGCTGGTCTCCCAAGTCCTGCCGCCCACCCCCAGCCTGGCCCTGCCCCTGAAGCCGGACGCGGCCCTGTCCGTGCCCGAAGGGGCCCTCCCGGTGGCACCCAGCCCCTCTCTCCCCGAGGCCCTGAGCACTCTCCCTGTGCAGCAGCCCCCGCCGCCAGCCCCTGCCACCGCCACCGCCACTGTGGGCCTGGCCTTCTCCCCAGACGCCTCTGGGCTCCTGCCCAGCTTCCCAGCACCCCCGCCACCGGAGGGGCTGCTGCTGTCGCCTGCCGCCGCCGTGCCCGTGTGGCCAGTGGGGCTGGAACTGAACACAGGAAGCGAGGGGCTGCTTGAGGTCGAGAAGGGGCTGGCCACGCAGGCCACCCCCACCGTGCTGAGGCTGCCAGACCCAGACCCCGAGGAGCTGCTTCTGGGGCCCACGGCAGGGGGTGAGGTGGACGAGGGGCTGGAAGCCGAGGCCAAGGTCCTGACCCAGCTGCAGTCGGTGCCGGTGGAAGAGCCCTTGGAACTGTGACCCGGGCCAGCCGCCTCTGTCTCCTGACAATGGTGCTCAAAGACCTGGAACACCCCAGGAACTATTGCTGTCATCAAGATGCCACACACTACACCCCACCGGGCCGTGTCAGCCCCATGGGGACACGGCCCTGTCCCCTCTCTGGATGGGGAGGCCTTCCGCTATACCCCTCTCCTTGTTCTGCCCCCCATTCGTATGGGGGCTGGAGGTCCTGACCCAGGGGCCCTGCCCCCTCTGCATGGTACTAGCTGTGAGCTGAAGACCCTGCCAAGTGGCTGGACTTCCACCCGTCTTGAGCCGTCTCCCCGTCACTCCCTAACACATTATTAATAGCTGCACTGTTAGCTGTTGCCCCAGAACTGTGTGGAACCCACGAGGACCGGCAGGCCTCCGCAGCTCAGCGCTTCCTGCGGAAAAGGACGCAGGCATGGGAGGGCACGGGCAGGGGTGCCTGGCTTGCCCTGCTCCTCACCCCCAGCCCCAGACCAAAGATCTCATCCACCCCTGGGGGCAACCTTGGCCCCTGCCTGCCCGTGTCGTTTGTATCCGAAATCTTTATTTTTCTAGGACACGTTATGCCTCCGTTTCAATAAAAAAAAAAAAAGAAAGAAATTTAACAATTAGAGCCAGTAAGGGTGTGGGTTAACTTCCAAACTTGCCCAAAGGAGGAAAAGTGAGCTCCGCAGGGGGACCTTGGTGGCTGCTTGGGAAGGTGTGGGCGGTAGGGGGGCCACAGATCTAGGGGAGGGTGGCCCCAGTGCCGAGGGGACAGGCCAAGACGGGAGCCTGAAGTTGTCACCCTTGTTGGTAACAAGGGTCCCACTTGCTTTATTTTTCGAACAATAAATACTCTATAAATAGAACAGTGGCGGTTGAGGGCGACCAGTGCAAACCATCGGATTCTGGGGTGGAGAAGGGCAGAGCAGTGGTGACCCCTCATCTACTCACCTCCCTGCGTTTCACGGGGCTTCCTTCCCCAGAAGCCACGGGGGAGACGGGCTGTGCGAGGACGCGGGCGGTTACAGTGCAAACACAAGGTGGGGAGAATAAATTCATCGTCCAGGTCAGCAGGAGCTGGCCTTGGGACCCTCCTTCTCATGGCTCCTGGAGGAGAGGACCTCAGGGGCCGCCAGCCCTCAGCGGCGCCGAGGAGGGGGCCCGAGGGGCTGGCTCCGGCTCTGGGGGCTCTAGGACCCAGAGGGCCCGGTCCGCCAGCAGCTGGTAGAAGGGCTTCGGTGGGTCGCAGTCGTCCTCCTCACTGCTGGAGCGCTCCTTCTTCACGATGCGGTTGTGCTGGCGGCTGAAGCGGCGCGCCTTGACGCTGGGGGGAGATGGGGCCTCACTCACCCCCCAGGCATGGTGCAGCCCCCCACCCCTGGCCCCCAGTCTGTCCCCAGAAGTGACCAGGTCTGGGCTGAGAGAAGGCCAGGGTGTCAGCGCTCCCGGGCAACGGTCTGGGAAATGGGTCTCAGCTCTTTGCTGGGGTCCCACACTCTGTGAGGGTCTGCTGCAAACTGTGCATATGCACGTGACGTGTGTTTCTGGGGTAGATTTGGAAATGGGCGCGTGGCAGCTCTTTGAAGCTGATGCAGAGGAGAGGTTGGGGGGTCTGAGGAGGAGGGAAGAAGGCTGCCCTGGGAGCAGCAACTGCCCCTCCCCCATTACCCATATCCCCCACCCAGTCAACTTCAACCCGCCCCCAGTGCCATGAAGCTCGGGCTCTGCAAGTGGGAGCAGGATCAGGGGCTCAGGGAGGCCTCTCTGGGCCCCTGACAAACGCCCTCAGGCAGAGGTTTCTCACCAGTATGGCTTCCGTTCCTGCTGGGTCATCACCCGCCAGAGCTGGGCCAGCTCCTTGGTGGCAGCTGTGGACGCCGTCCCCGGACAGGCTCTGGGACAGGGAAGGGGAGGTGAGGAGAGGCCTGCAGAGCCCCTGGTTTGGGTGGAGGCAGTGTGATCACAGAGGGGGCCTGGCCCTGTTTGACCCACGGATTTCCACCTGAGAACTCAGGTCCTTCCTCTCCCTTCTGGTTCCCGTCCCACTAGGCACTCACTGGAGCGCAGGAATCAATGGCGGGCATGGAGTAGCTGTCTGCTCAAAGGGATGCCCGTGTCCCAGGGAGACAGTGCAGGGGACCTGCCTCCGCCCCTTTCCTGGTACCCAAACCACAAAGCCAGCTGCCCTGGAGTCAACTCTGACCCCTGGCGACCCCATGTCTGTCACAGTAGAACATCTTCAGTGGTTTAGGAAGAAGACCACCAGGACTTTCTTACAAGGCGCCTCTGGGTGGACTTTTGGTCAGCAACTGAGTGCGTTAGCCATCCGCCCCTCCCAGGGGCTGCCTCTGGTACCTGCACCTGGATTCCCCTGTGAGAGGACAGCTCTGTCCCCTGTGGATGGCCTAGAGGCACCTCCCACCCCCTGCCTGGCTCCCAGCTGGGTCAGGCCTGGCTGAGGGTGGGCATCAGACCCAATCAGAGTCAACCTCTAGAACTTTTGCTGGATGCCTTAGACACAAGGAGCTCTCTTTTCACCTGGTTGCTAGAGTGGCGGGCAGGATGGTAGCCTGATCCTGCCCCCAGCGAGGCACCCCACCCACAGCTAAGCATGAAGAGAACAGAGTTGAGAGAAGGGCAGACTCCAGGGAGCGTGGTAAGTGCCCAGGACCAGGCAGCTCTGAAGGTGGTGGACAGCTACCCCTCTAGTCCAGGTTATATGAGCAAATTCGTGTCCTTTTTCTCTGAGTCTGGGTGGGGTCTCACTGCCGACAGAGGACAGGTTCTGAGTGGTGCTGCGGGGCTGGGTTACACTCTGCGGGGAGCTGTGGCGAGGATGCCCGGCACATCCTTCCTCGGGGGCCTGTGAGTCGGACAGCAGTGGGCTGAGACATGGTGGGGGCTGGAGGACAGGCAGGGTGCTTGCCCGGGGCAGGGGCACCTTGCTCACCGGATGTACTGCTTCCGGTTCATCCTACAGAACATGATGAAGCCGTTGATACACTTTTTCTTCACGTGGGTGGGGCCGGGGGACTTCTTGCTCTCCTTGGTCTTCACGGGCCCTCTGCCTGCCCGGCCCTTCTTGGCTTTCCTCCCACTGGGTGGCAGGGCCAAGGCCTGCTGGGCGGGGGTCCAGGTGTAGTCATCATCTTCCTCGCTGGAGGACTGCGCGTCCTCGGGGTCCTCAGGGTCGGCCTGGGCATCCTGCGGGGGGAGAGAGGTGAGAGAGGGTGGGAGATGAGGACCAACCTAGGCACAGGCTGTCCCCTCTTACCTCTTGCTGCGTCCACAGGGACTCCGTCTTGGTGGTCTCAGAGTCTGGGCTGGACGGGGCCTTGCTGGTCTCGCTCAGGGAGAGGTAGCAGTGGTCGAGAGAGATGGAGGACTGGCACAGGCTGTGGGCCTCAGTGGGGTCTCCAGGGACCTCAGCTGGGGTGTCCTGGGGTGAAGGAGAAAGGTGGAGGGACACGAGTGGATATGAAGGTGTCCCTTCATCCCCCCATCCTGGGGACATAATGTTAGCATTAGCAATGGCACCGATTAAAGACCAGCACCAAAAAAAATGTGGTCCATACACACAATGGACTATTGCAATGCAACGGAACCACTGCTGTGGAGTCGGATCCGACGCATAGCAGCCCCTCCTTGGGTTTCCGAGGCAGTATCACTACGGAAGTAGATTGCCCAACCTTCTTCCCGGGGAGTGGTGGTGGGTTTGAACTGCCAGCCTTCTCATTACCAGTCAAGAGCCTTAGGCACTGCACCACCAGAGCTCCCCAACGGAATATTACACAGTCGTAAAGAGAAGTTAAGGAGCTCTGGTGATGCAGTGATTAAAGCACTCGGTTGCTAACCAAAAGGTCAGCTGTTTGAACCCACTAGCTGCTCCGAGGGAAAAAGATGAGGCAGTCTGCTTCCGTAAAGATTTACAGCCTCGGAAACCGTATGAGGAAGTTCTATTCTGTCTAAAGGGTCTCTGTGAGTTGGAATTGACTCTATGGCGATGTTTTATATTTTTTTTTTAAGAGAAATTAAGTCCCGGTGTATGCTGCCACGTGGATACATCTAGAAAACACCGTGTTGCGTGAAGTCAGTCTGTTGCAAAAGGACAAACGCTGTATGATCTCACTTACATCAAACAGGCAACTATACAGAGACTAGAGATGATCAGGGGTGACGGGGCAGAGGGAGGGGAAAGGGGAAGGTTTGGCTTAGGGGGCAGTGAAGTGATGTTAATGGTGGTGGAATGTGTGGATAAGGAGAGGGAGACTGGTGGTACGACTTGGGGAAGGTCATTGGTGTCACTGAAATGGACCTGGAGAAATTATGGAGATGGCACATGTTTCTTGTGTACATTTCACCACAATAATAATAATGATAATGACATCTTATCCCTACAGCCCCTCAGACATCCAAGCAGATGTTCGAAATGTCTCCTAGGAAACCAGCCTAAGGCACTTGACTGCTAACCAGAAGGCTGGCGGTTCAAACCCACCAGCCACTCCTCGGAGAGAAGATTGGGCAATCTACTTCCGTAGTGATACTGCCTCGGAAACCCAAGGAGGGGTCGCTATGAGTCGGGTTCGCCTCAACAGCAGTGAGTGAGTGAGTGGGTGAGATATTTCCTAGGGTGTCCCTGGATGGCACAAGTGGTTATGAGCTTAGCTGTTAACCAAAAGGTTGGTGGTGTGAATCCAGTCAGAGGCTCCTTGAAAGACAGACCTGGCAATCAATCTGCTTTGGAAACATTACTGAAAACCCTGGGAAGCCCAGTCCTACTCTGATGCCCGTGGGGTCACCAGGAGTCTCATGACTTGATGGGAACTGGCTGGTCGGCTGACAGCTGCCATCCATTCTGATTCTTTTCCCAGGCACCAGGTGATGCTGGGAGATGAGCAGGTGGGTGGATTTTGGGAGGAGGAGTGGATGCCGGAGTAAACGGATGGGGGAGTGCATGGGTGGAAGACCGTCAAAAGACTGAGGGGATGGAGGACAGAGCGAGT